AGATTCCTTGTAAGAGCATGGATGGCCGGAGGGCAGCTGCATCCCTGAAAACCACACTCCAGTGTAGCTGGGTATGCAAATATTGCATCCCTAGGGCTCTGCCCTACTTGTGTCTTGTCAAAGACTCTCTTTCCCCAGCTATTCTCTTTTTATTTTACATCCTGACTGAAGTTTCCCCTCCCTTCTCTCCTCCCATCCCCTCCCTCACCTTCTCCAGCTATTCTTACAGTTTTTATAAACTTGGGGAAGGACCTTATGAGTTTTCTAGGTTTCATGATCTTCCCGAGCCTTGTTGATGCCCACGGAAGCCCAAAGAGGGCATCGGATCTTTGGAATTGCGGATTGGTTGTGAACCTCTCCGTGTGGGTGCTATGAACCTCATTTGGGTTCCCTGCAAGGGTTTATAACTACTAACTACCGCTCCAGAAACAGCTGTGAGTTTTGTTCACTCCCTGAGCCTTAGCATTAGTATTAGTAGCTTTCCTATTTCCTCTAGATGGAAATGGATCAATTCAGAGGAAGTAGCTGTACAACTTGGGGACACCCATTGTGTGGGTGCCTGGTTAAAAAAAAATTGGGAAGCATTGGTTTGGTTTGGTTTTGCTTTTGTTCATTGCTGAGGCAACATAATGCTGACTGAAAAAGCTTCACTATGGCTTCTTCCAGTATCCAGAATATGCTGTGGTTTTTTCCAAGACTGCCATTGGTATGCTGTCACTGCAATAGTACTGACATCCTCTGCTCAAGGAAGAATATAGCATTTTCCAGTCTCTAAAAGTGGAAATGGAATAATGCATCCAGTCTTGTGGCTGGATACATACAAATGTGCCTTGTGGTCCAAATGCATCCCATTCAGCTATGATCCTCACCATTTATTCAGCATAGGATAAATGTATTTTGCCCTGGTGTTGCTGGTCTGTTGACCTTCTTTTTGCCCATCTTGAGTGACTGCTGGTCCTTGGAAAACACAATCCATCATCCAAATGGGACCATAACATCCAGGGAGCTGAACATCTAACATACGCATGCAGTGTCTACACAGAAGACAATGCAACCAGAGATAATCCGGGGAAGAACTTTATTGGCTATCACCATGTGATCCTGAAGGGCCCAGCTCCCCATTTCAGCAGCCATACAGCCGAACACATATTTGTCTGACCTTGTTTTAGTCACTAAGGTCAGATGCCTGCCCCTTTCGGCAGCCATGACAGTAACACGTGCTTTTC